TATGGATGCACTTGGGAGGTTTGCTAAGCACTCAAGAAGCTAGAGTCGCAGTCGGCTATCGCATCGGGCGACTCTTACGCTTCTTTCGTGCTTAGCAACCTCTCGCATGCATCTATAACTCAATAGTACACGCATGGCGTTCACCATTTGTTAATTTGTCTTTGTCGTCGTCGTTTACCTTACCACAACCGTTATCTTTACCGTTACCGTTATCGATACCCTAATAGTTAGCTCATCTTTATCGTTATAGTCATTAGTTTTCTCATTCGTTTAAGTCCTTGACCAATTGAGCTAACCGCCTCCCGGTTAGCTCAATTGGTAGAGCGCCGGACTGTTGTGCGGGAGGTCGTGAGTTCAAATCCGGCCGGACCAACACTCAGGGTCTTTAATTAACTGAGAAGAAAGTGCTGCCTTTGTAATAATATCTGCAAATGGTTAGACTTTCTAGTCTTCTCGGATAGGGACGATAAATGGAGGTCCCGTCTCCTGCAGGGTTGGGGTAGGAGACGTTAATTTCCCACACACGAGATTACTGTGTGATGGATGTCCTCTCCGGGGTGGGATGGGTGGGTAAAAAAGGGATTAGGTGTCAATTGGAACGAAAGTTCTGTTCCTTTCTCCTGCCATTCCTGTGGCGAACAAATTAAACTAAACTAAACTTTCATAACTGCCAACACGGTCGGTTGAGTTCTGAACACAATGTCTAGAAATTGGAAAAAAAAAAAAAAAAGCGAAACGTCGGCGAGAAACAGGGCGAGCTCGAGGAAGCGAAATATAATATCAACTTGTGGCCTTAACTGCAGCCAAAAGAGGTGAATAAACATCGAACTCTTTTTTCTTTTTAGATACGGAGGGTCAATCAATACAAGAGAATACATACTATATTCTCTTTGCCATGCACTTTAGTCGCACTTTTAATTTTGAGGAGTTTCACCTTTTGTTTAAAGATGGAAAGGAAAATTCCATCAAAAGACGGAAAATCCCACAAATATTGTCTCCTTGACATTACGTTGGTGAGTTTGATGCAATTCTCGACATAAGAGTGACTAGGCAACAAGTCGCTGGTACACTTCGGAGGAACAAGATGCATTGATGCTTCGCCTTGTGTGACGCGAAGAGGTTTCTGAAACTGTCTCTATGTCTATGTATGATTTTGTCGCTACGATCAGTGGCACGAATTCCGATTTTTGTAAATCGTGTAAATTGTAAATCGTGTCTTCGAAACAGTACTGACGGAGCGACTTGTCGCAAAGACTTTAAGCACATAATCTGACAGGAGCAGTTTCTTTAAAATTCTCCAATTATGTTACCAAACACAGAGGCAACAGAGAAAAGTCAAGTTAAACTACATAATACGTGCAGCTGTATCAAAAACGTCGCGTCTTTAAACAGAACCTTAACTTACGCGTAAAATGAAACACATGACTGGAAAGACAATGACAAATTACGTGAAAGACATCTCAGTTGAGCCTCTGTTATTGTTTTCCCACCAACAATTTAGCGACGGCTATCAAAATTACGGCCCTCGGCATGATTCCGTACAAGCCAGACATTTTCTTCAGAATACGCCTATATTAAACTGATAATCATGAATTTCCGCGTACAGATCCAAAATAAGTCTTTCAATAGAAAAGTAATTTAAGAGGAACCAACTGACCTTTGGTTGATTTTGGCTTGTTTCCTTTGTCTACGTTTTGGGTTCTGTAGTTTATCTTTACCAGTCGAAAGATCTCTCTCTCCATCTTATCACAGAACTTTGCTGAGTGTGATATCAGCCGATGATTTTCTTGTATCTTAAGTTCTTGGTGAATCAGCGCAATGAAACACAAAAGAGATAACAGCAAGCCTGACCCGGAACACAGTCGGTCCAATGTTTGTCTTCTGTTCGTCTCCCGCCTTTGATTTGCCTTCTTTTGCATTTGTACAGGTTGCATCTTCTGTTGCATGCTTACAACTTTCTGCATGTTCCACTCTTTTTTTTCCACGCAAATGTAAATCTTGGTTTGTGTCCCAAGGTTTTCAAGATGAAATGCAGATGTGGGTGTTGCGATCAAATGATAAAATAATCTCAAAAGTGACTGATCAGTGGCATGTTGTTGATCGGATTCAGTTTCACAAGGTCGAGGTATGACGGGTTCTCTGGGTGGCTGGAAAAACAGTGTAAACTAGTCTGAAACTGTCAGAAGTCTATTCTCAACTTTGCTCCGCAATGAAAACAAAAACAAAGGAAAGAGACCTTTTTTTTGTATTCTTACAGTTACCCCAGCTTCTAGACACCCATGCGGCTTTGCATTCGTACAATCACATCAGCCTATGCACAAACGACACACATCTGTCGCATCAAATTTTCACAATCTTACATTTTAAGTGGGAGCTTCCCGTAGGAGAATATAATGATGTCTAGGCAGACATAATCTGTCCGTAAACGCCCACTAGAATATCAAATGAGGCTTCTCTTATAAGAGATATTTATTCAACTAAGATTTTCAGAAGCTAAATTTAGAATTCCCTGGTGTGTTTGGCAGATATTGGGTAGAATTCTTGTGCAAAGAATAGCTAGAAATTTTAAGNATAATCTCAAAAGTGACTGATCAGTGGCATGTTGTTGATCGGATTCAGTTTCACAAGGTCGAGGTATGACGGGTTCTCTGGGTGGCTGGAAAAACAGTGTAAACTAGTCTGAAACTGTCAGAAGTCTATTCTCAACTTTGCTCCGCAATGAAAACAAAAACAAAGGAAAGAGACCTTTTTTTTGTATTCTTACAGTTACCCCAGCTTCTAGACACCCATGCGGCTTTGCATTCGTACAATCACATCAGCCTATGCACAAACGACACACATCTGTCGCATCAAATTTTCACAATCTTACATTTTAAGTGGGAGCTTCCCGTAGGAGAATATAATGATGTCTAGGCAGACATAATCTGTCCGTAAACGCCCACTAGAATATCAAATGAGGCTTCTCTTATAAGAGATATTTATTCAACTAAGATTTTCAGAAGCTAAATTTAGAATTCCCTGGTGCGTTTGGCAGATATTGGGAAGAATTCTTGTGCAAAGGGTGTGTACATTTATCCACAGACTTTTATTGTGCTAATACAGGAAACGTTTTCAAATTGTGTTGCAAAAAAAGTGATTACAACGAATTTGGTATTTTTTAAATATAAAACTGATTTCAAACAACTTTTGATTTAATTTTTGTTTTAGTTTTGCTTTAGTTCATTTTAGTTCCTTGTAGTTTGACGTGTTCCTTTGTGCAAAATCGCCATCGTTTCCCTTGCTTTTTTTTCAATTTTAGCTTACATTACCCAACGCGCTCAGAAAAGAAAACTGACACAAATTCTACTTTAATTTTTTTGTTACATTTTTGACCTACATGCAGTGTTGCCAGCTGTATAAGTCCAGTCTTAGTGCCCAGTTCTACTTCACTATGACATCAAAATTATTAAATTTGATAGTTAGCATATTAAGTTCATTCAATTGACAGTATGGGTCGTGAAGAAAAATCCCAGCTTAGTTTCATTCTTTTAACTCGACCTAAAGCGCTAAACAAACACAGCACAATTGTTACTACGTAGACTCAAGCGCGTTTGATCCTCATTCCCTGGTTTTAATTTCTGGTGGGACAAGATAATGTGTGACTTGAACAGCTTCCCATGGCCAAAAGTGTTACAATACCTCTTTTTACTAACAAATGTTTACAACAAGGCTTAAAACAAATTAGAGCGCAGCTAAAGCTGATTGACTCCACAGTCTGTCATAGCTAGAAATTTTAAGGAGACAGGCGAGAAAACTTTCGCTCTTACAACTCTATAAACTATTCAAGTAAGTTAGATGGAATGTGTTCCAAACGTTCGAAAAGTAATTGATCACAAGACAAATTTTGTGATGGGCCAAATTATTTATTTATTTTGTATTTTTGTAATTTTCTATTTTATAATTATAGTGTTTTTTAATTCATAATGGGCGGTGCCTCGCATGGGACTTTACGTCCCGTTCGCGCCTTCCCTTTTGGGTGCAGTTTTATCACAGTTTCTCTTCTGTTTTCTATTTGTTATTGTATCATTGTACTTTTGCCTTGTTCAAATATTTATCTGATATGCCCAATAAAGTCGTTTAAAAAAAAATAAATAAAAAATAAAAAATAGCTACACTACAGTCATAACCTCATCATTTTTACTTCGGTAATAAAAAGGAAAATATTTTTAATAAATACTTCTTACATCACTATTGATCTAATGACTTAAAATTCTGACTTAGAAGCTCGAATTTTAACCTTTAAAGCCTTACCTTAATTGTTCCTAAGTAAAATCCTTATGCCATTCCAAAACATTTAATTTTCCCCAGAGTATGATATCCTTCCTCAGATCCTATAACGTCACCAAACCTGAGCTGTTTTACTAGAAGAGTTGTCTTGTCAGTGCAAAGACCGCTGTCCTCACGCCATACTGCGTCATTCCTATCACAGTAGGGACTTAAAGATACAGGAACGCGGACGTCGCGAAAGAGAACCGGAAGTAAAATAACACCTGAGAGCTTCATTGCGCATGACCAAAAGTCAGATATGCTGCGTTGTTGCTGGCGACGGACGTCACTAGAGGGCTTTTCGCGTCGCTGATAACACGTGAGTAAATTGGTGGTCTTTTTGGTTTCTACAGACCTTTTAATTAACAGTACCTGTATTATTTTGGATGTTTAAGAATCTTCTTTGTTATTTTTTATTTAAAAAGTCGGTTGCTGAGTCATAATCATAAACAGCAGTGTAAATATAACACTGTAGTGTCAGTACAACCTAAACCAAAATGTGCAAAAATGGCTCAAATCTCGTTAAAACACAGCAGAATGGCAAGAAATTTAACACTAAGCAATCCCGGTAAAAACCTCTGTTCTGTGAATTAATCATACATTGACTGATTTAATTTTCAGTTGCTGATCTCGGTTATAAATTACAGTTGGATCTAGCCGGGAATGGCTTCGAAGCCCAAGTAAAATCATGATCATGTCAGAGTAGCGACAAGGGTAGGCAAATCGCTTGAGAAGGATACAAAGGCCTTCGGTTCCAGGACATACTGTTCCTTGATCTTATTTAAATATAGCAGGAATTTGCAGTGCATCTTCAAGGCAAGATGTGTGATGCTTCTCTACCCTTAAATTGGCTAAACACTCGGCTCCATTTTGGTCCCGGCAAAGAAAATTTCGAATACTCTTGGTAAGGAAAGTCCAAATTATCCGACTTGTTCTCCTCATAAAGCAGCAAGAATTCTGCATCAGTAATAAAGCCCATTGCACGACTTATACACAGCAGTTCTCGAGTTTCCCTGAAAGAAGCCATATTAAACTCGAAAAAATCGCCGCGTCGCTCGCAAACTGAAGAACCTTAACTTAATTTTCTCGCCACGAACGCGGTGCACTCGACCCAGGCTCTCTTCGACGGTCGCGTACTTCAAGGCGTCCGCGTCCCCGTATCTTAAAGTCCCTAGTTACAGTGAAACCTGGCGTCTGCACAGGAGTTAGTCATCCCGCATGCGCACTTACCACTGATAGGTGATGCTCCACCCTAGTACGTCATCTTAGCAGAGTCACGTGACACCCACCATGCGTATCCTCCTCCCATCCCTCATAATAGCACTGAATGATGACATTCATATTTGATAAACTGTTCACAGTGTGAGGAGGCTCTGGTGAGACTCGCCAGCTGAGACAGACTCGTTCCGGTGTAATGAATGTCACGTGAATAACACCCTCGATTATCACATCCTTTACACGCGTTCTACTTTCACTGTCGTGACCGATGACTGTTACGCCAACTCTATTCCTCTCACTCATGTCGCAGTATACTGTGAAAGGTGCCAGTCCTCCGATCCAACGCCGTCCGGATCAATGACGTAATTTCTACTGACTCTACTGACGTACTTTCTTATCACAAAACAAGACGTTGCAATAAAGGGAGAATTCATTTTGACTTTGGCTTCTAATGCTGTCAGACCATTGGTCGCTTTACAAGTGTAAGATCTTTGCTGTGATTTCTTGCTGTTATTTACAATCCGAGTTCCTTTTTGTAGAACTGTGGCCTCAACAACAAGTGAAGACATGCCATCCATTGTCCAGGTGACTGTAGTCACTAGATCACTCTCGGCCTGAAAATGAAAACGAACACTTGAACCAATCACAGGAGTGATTTCTTGAAGAGGACGGGCTTTGAACTTCAGAGGAGAAAATACCATGAGATGAGCAGTGTCTGTCGCTGATCCCAAAATATTCTCTGCCTTACAGATGTATATTCCACCATCCTTTCTCACCAAACTGTAGATCTTCCATGTTCCATTCCTCACTTCAGTCCTTTATTCTGGCAAACTACCCATTGACTTAGACCACGTGACTATTGGCCAAGTCTGACCAACAGTATTGCCGGCAATGGTGACGTTTTGTTTCACTGGATGAATACAAAAGTTTAGGGAAGACTGTGGAAAAATGGAAAATTCAATTTATCTCTAAGATCTGTAAACACTGGAATCTACATTACTATTATAAGTATCATGACACCCAATATCTAGCCTAAATTAATAGATCAAATAAAAAAAACAGGAATTTCATCTTTTATGAATCGTGGTTCAGCTTTGGAAGCTTCAATTTGCTTCTGGCAAGCAATGTCTCACAGTGTCTCNGCAGTCGGTCTCTTTGAATTATTCAATCACTTGATAATCAAACCATGCACCCTATGGGAGAAATAACTTAAACTACATAAATATATATAATAGAACGGTTCATACTGTAGATTAAACGCAAAATTTAGCCCTAACATGCTTTTTCACGCAAAACTTAGACGGGTATATTCGCTTGGTCATGCTTGCATGCTCCCATTCTCGTAGACACAGAGACAAATGCATTAATTCTAAGTAGTGAATTAGACTTATATCACTCCGTTTAAAAATGATAACAATAAACGAAAGCTAAATCCTTGAATTACGGAAAGGATGGTTATTATCAAAGTTGATGCGGGAAATTCGTAATTCCTGACCTTCATTGTTGACTTTGTTGAGATAGCAAACCCTGC